CCCCAAAACCCCAAAACCCCAAAACCCCAAAACCCCAAAAAAAACAGCAGTTTAAATTTAATATTTATTAAAAATGAGCTACAAAGTATATAAAAAGAATGTGAGCAAGTATTCAAAAAACAAGCCAAGTGGGATTCCATCGTCAATGCAGTCTCACTCAGGCTATCTCTTCACAAGTCGGTCTATAACTCCGGATAAATAGCCCTGAGAACCCTCAAAAGAGTGGTGTAAGCTCATTTAAGAGATCTTCAGGAGATTTGTCATTAAATAAACCTGGAATTACAGTGAAGAAATCAGGTATTTACGGCAGGAATTCAGGAGCCTCAACTGACAGAAGTCATATTTTGAACAGGAATTTATCCCTCAGTGGTATCAGTAGCCAAGTGAAAGGCTCCCATAGTCGAAATTTGAACAGGACAAAGGAGTTAAAATCAAAAGGATCCATTTCTAGTAACTCAAGCTATCAGAACATGTCTAATGGTAAGCTGTCAACATGCAAAATGTTGCGTGGGAAGACAGGAGAGGAGACAGATCGTGAACTGAAACTCCTTGAAACGATTAAACTCTTAAAATCTGAAAATAAATAAACTCTATCAAGTCTCTAAGGACTCTGAGAAGAGCTTACTTGACAAAATCAAAGAGTCTAGGAAGGAGATGGAGAAGATGACTACAATAATAAATCAGTTATGGCCGTTCATCCAGAGTCACTTAAAGCGAGAGATCGGGAGCAGCAAAATTGCCAGTCTCAAACGGATGGCAAAGGAAGAGAGTCGTGTTGACTTCCTAGACACCCTCTCAAAAGTCATTGGTAAGGTCAAGAAAGATGCTGAGAAGGAAGGCAGGTCCCTTTTCGGCACTGATACAGACTCAAAATATGAAAAACTTAAAAGAGACCATGCTAAATTTGATCATATTGAGAGAAACTTAAAAGCCCAACTGAAAGAACGTGAGATTAGGGAAGCTAAAGCAAAAGAGCTGATTGACAAGCTCCAAGTCAGAATTAAGGAGCTTGATGCCTTTAGACTCACAACAACCGATCATATTATGACAAAGGCGACAACACAAGAGGAAATTCTTTTCCTTATAAGAGCTAATGAAAGGATCAGAGCTTTCCAAGACAATGATTTTATGGACACTGAAGAGAAATTTGAAGATGGAGGGTTCATCACTAATAAGCGCCACTACGAAATCCTTGATGATTATGAACCAGCCCCTTCATTTTTGAAAGCTCTGACAAATGAGATCCTCTACCTTGAAGAGGAAGAGGACGATCTGATGAATGATAGCTATAGTCATAGACTCTTCAGCGAGAGCAACATTATCTCTTCAGATTATGACGAAAACAAACATGATATAGTCAATCCTTATCTGCATGTACAGAAGATAAATACAATAGACCAGGTACCTGGGCTTATAAAAGATACCTTAGACGAGCTGAGATCAAGAAATGAATCCTATGATGAACACAGTTATCAAATTGTGAATAAGATAAAGCACAAAAAGACTGAATCTAAGAGAATCAAAACTGCTAGAGAGAGAAATCTAAACAAGACAAGTGAATATAGCAGGCATGATCCAATGGGGTTGACCTCCCATACATCGACAAAGCTTGGCACAAGCCTTGACAGGGACAACAGATCAGTGTAAGCCAATTCTCTAAACAATCTAGAACTGATAAGTCTTTCCAAGCTAGGAAGAACCATAAAGTGATTGATATGAAGGACTTAAAACCAGAGCCAAAAAATTTAGTCACTGAATCGACTAAAATAAGTTAAGTTGCTTCCATAATGTTTCTTCAATATTTTATAATTTTTAGGGGTTTTGGGGTTTTGGGGTTTTGGGGTTTTGGGG